TTGCCTCTTTTTCCTGCGCGAGCTTCACTGCCGAAGATGAACATTTCCCAGTTCTATCGCATCTGTGATATGTATAGTTCTTTGCTAGTAAAGTCTTTCGCTACACGCTCAGTATTGTTTGTGCTCCGTCTCTTGTATTCCTGTGAATATCAAGTTTTTCTTCACCGATCTGCATTGTAAATTGAGTAAGTTGTTACGGAGTTCTTCATGTTCCTCTCGCGCATCACTAAAAGCTGACTTGATTTCTGACCTTAATTCGGTTGTTTGGTCTTCTAAGTCGTTAGCTAATCTACTAACAGATGATCTCACTTTTCTTTACGTCTTTTAACATTGTTGTCATATTTTACTTTAAGGATGCCATTGTACTTATGCCAGATTTAGGAATTATTGTCAGATGTTCGGACTCCTTGGTTTTTTTCCTACGATACAGGGTAAAATATTTTGCCCCATAACACCCATTTTTCTTTTCATATAAGACTTTCAACAGCTCATAAAATAAAAGGTCAATTAATTACCAGCAGTTAAGCAGATTCTAGTTTTCTTTTCGTTCGATTTGAGACCCAAATAATACCAATGTAAATATAAGGTAAAAATCCGAGTCAGCCTTTTCCCGCCATTTTTAAAACTTAAATATCTCGAAAAGTAGTTCCATAACCTACCAATATTTGTAGCTTATATTGTTCCTTAACTAATGTTCTTGTGACTTATAGTATCAATTTTAAATTCTAGATATTTTTAATTTCACCTAAGAACATCCTTTAAGTCGTCCATAAAATCACTTATACTCTGTAGATTACTATTAACTTCTTAATTTTATTGTTAACATGTAAATTCTTTTGCTGTTTACCAAGACTGCTATGTTGTGTTTTAATTGTGATATTCCGGACTCACTTTTTCTCACCTTACATTTAATTTTTGAACTGATGATTCAACTTCGTTAACTTTTGTTTTCAACTCGCTATAAATTTTAGCTAAGGTTGTAAATGTTCTGTTCATTTGGGTAACTTGTGCCATTCCCTTTCCGATATAAGTAAGTCTGCCATTTAACCCACTCGTAAAGAGACTCAATATGTTGTTCGTCGTTCTGAATGCTGTTCTCTTTGAATGCAATACATCCCGGAGTACAGGTGATAAACACCTCTTGGGATTCTACTGACTGTTTATATTATACAAACTTAGAATATAGAAAAGTGCTCTCCACCAATGAAATCGTAGGATTTGGTGTGTCTTAATTGTGAGAAATAAATGTACATCATGTTCTTAGTAAGTGATTGTCCTATTTTTAGGCTTACTACAAGTTCAAAGCATATAATTTCAATAAATGATTTACAACTGCCCGAAGCACATTTATTTCATTTTATTATTGAAATTAATTAAAAATTGTAAATAGTTAAACAAACAAAAATCAAAATACATTGAAGTTTACTGTACCGTTAAACAATGTTAAAGTTATAATTTGAATATTAGTTAAATTGAATTGCTATAAAAAACATTATCAAAGCAATGCAAAAGGAAAGAAAGGAAAAGTCCTTTTAACTAAAAACTTAAATCTTAAAGCTAAAACACTAACACGTACAGTACAACATTTCAGTATTTACATATAGGGGATAAATAAAGCTGTACCTTTGAATTTCATTTTAAAGGCATTTTATTTGAACATTTTAATTTTAGTTGATTACCTTACTTAATGAAATCGTATTTAATGTAAAGAGTTGGATTCAAATATTGTCTGTGATTTGAACTGTAAATATACAAAAAGACAATTTCTCAAATGAATAACGGTTTAGCCACTGTATATTTAATGCATGACTTCCTTTTTAGGCATTTCATTTATGGATTAGTATTAGGGATGTAAGGACTTGCTTATAATTTGGGAAAATTTTAGTAGATTGTGATTTAAACATTTAGATGACACATGCAACGGTACGATTAAATGGTAGAAATTGTATGAGTTTCCCAACTGTGATTATGAATGTGAATAAAGTGAATATTTTAGTGAGGAATTATCTGTTTTCATTCATGATATTTAGACACACAACAGTACTCATGATTTTTGTCGAGCAGAAAGCATGACATATGGATAGTGATCAGGCGGCGGCGGCGGCGACGGCGTTAACTTACTACTTAAAAGCTTTATGTTTTAGAAGGCGGAAGACCTGGATACTTCATACTTTGTATATAGATGCCTTATGTTATGAAGTTTCCATCTGTCATATGTCTATTGTCCTTGACCTCATTTTCATGGTTCAGTGACTACTTGAAAAAAAAAGTTAAGATTTTTGTAATGTTAATTTCTCTCTTATTATGAGTAATATGATAAGTATATTTAGTATGTGCGTACCTTGCAAAGTCCTCGTGCCTGTCAGACAGTTTTCATCTGACCTCGACCTCATTTCATGGATCAGTTAAGTTTTCGTGGTCAAGTCCATATCTCAGATACTATAAGCAATAGGTCTACTATGTTTGGTGTATGGAATGATTGTAAGGTGTACATGTCCGAATGACAGGTTTTATTTGACCTTGACCTCATTTTCACGGTTCATTGCTCAGTGTTAAGTTTTATATTTTGGTCTGTTTTTCTCAAAACTATAAGCAATAGGTCAAATATATTTGGTGTATGGAATGATTGTAAGGTGTACATGTATTTCAGGTTTGGCTTATCTGACCTTGACCTCATTTTCTTGGATCATGTTAGGTTTATGTGATACTTGTAGTAAAGCTTTATATTTAGGACTATCAACATGAAATTAATGGTCAGTAAAGCAGGCGAGACATTTCAGCGTGTGCACTCTTGTGTTCTTTAGCTCTTTTCCTATGGAAATTGCCTGGGGGGATTGTACACTTCGTTAGTGGATTTTTTAAGAATTCACTTTCATAACTATATCTACTATAATGATGGAAAATTGTATGCTGGAAAATGAAAATAAAATAAAGTAAACTTAGATAAATAAACGAATAAATAAATAAAATTGTATTATATTGCATTTCTAAAGTTTTGAAATAAAATAGGTGACGTAAGATTAAGTAATAACCCGTTACTTAGTCTAGTTATTAACGTTTTGGAGGGAAAGGGGAGACAACTCGATACAGCAGCGATCCCTCCCCCTTTTCCTGCATAACAGAATGGCGAAGGACCCGGGCAACATCACATATCACACCTGCTGTTTGGAATAAATCATTAAAACGTCATTGTATTTTATTCATTAGCGCCAGGCCTCGAAAGAACAAGTGTCCGAGATGAGGGACGCACCCACAGAAGGTATTACATTAACCGGAAATGAGTGAGCTAGTATTCCCCAGGTACCCCGAAAGAAGCTAGAATCCCCAAATGAACGAAAGCGAGAATAGAGCGAAAGCAAAAGATGTCTGTCCCCCGTTACTTAGTCTAGTTATTAACGTTTTGGAGGGAAAGGGGAAACAACTCGATACAGCAGCGATCCATCCCCCCTTTTCCTGCATAACACTACTATGAATAGTCATTCATGAATAGCATTTTATAGTGCATGGAAAGTCATGTACTATGGAAATTAGAAGGGAAAAAACTGGTTTTCCATTGGACGAGAAGGGGTGAGTATGTTCTAAGCTGAAATGTCTCGCCTGCTTTACTGACCATTGATTTTGAAAAGGTATATACTCGACGCCGAGGTTGACAAGTAAGACTTTAATTTTGGATTATTGATTTAAACCGGTTAAATTGAAATATAGGTAGCCCAGGCCACACAGCATGTTAATCATTCTTACTACATTGATTGTGATTATAAGACGTCACAGGAAAGATGTGCATGTATGCGGGGGTTGGGCAAGGGGGCCGATGGTAATGCAAGTATGCACTTCAAGTTTAATAAAATTGACATTGTAAGCCAATTTTAAACAAATAGTACAGTTCCTAGAAATATTGAAGCATCTTTTAGCATTCTCCAAATATACCCGACACTCCGATAATTACAAGTTTATATTTTATACGTTTTACATTTTATTCCTTCTGCTTGTGATTTTGCGCTAAGTTGATGACGCCTATAGGGGGTATCGAGCGGAGAACGACATGGGTAAATGTGATCAGATTAACTGACTAGGGATAATATAATCCCATACCTATTCCAATTAAAGGCAATATATCAAATTGTTGAGCATCATTCTGATGTCATACGAAACCACTGCGTATGAATCTTATATGATTCTTATTGCCCACAACAACCTGCGTATGTATATATGCAATGTCGGTGTGTGTTCTCGAAGTAAATTGTTCCATAAGCTCCGTTTGTTGTCTGTGATTGCATTAGAGGTGCTGTCGATTTCTGCTAACGCCTAGGCATTTTTTTGCCATCCGCCGCGAAGTTGTCCGCTATTTTTCTACGGTCGGCCAAAAAATATTATGTGCATAGATTTTCAAAAGAATTAACATCAAGCATTAATCTGTGCACTCACAACATGAACAGAAACTCCAAAGAGAAATATGAAGGACTGTGTAAGGGATGTCAAACCGGCGAAAAACGACTCACATTTTACATAATACCTATGAGAAACTACATTACACGTTCGAGTTTACAATAGTATTTTTTTTAGACGAAGCTGTTGTTGTTAGGAAATATACATGATTTACATTCATTCTTCACAATTAAGGAACATCAAATTCTACAATTTCATTGGTCGAGAGCGCTTAACTTTAGTCTAAATCATTTTTGTTTTTCGTTTAATGTTTTGTACATAGAGCAGGCCGTTAATTTTCTCATTTGAATTGTTTCACAATTTTAATTTTGGGGCCTTTTATAGCTTAATATGTGGTTTGGGCTTTGCTCATTGTTGAAGGCCATTCGTTGACCTATAGTTGTTAACTTCTACGTTATTTGGTCTATGGCCATTAGGGCGGAGAGTTGTCTCATTGGAAATCATGGTCATGATGGTGGAGAGTTGTCTTATTGGCAATCATGGCCATGATGGCGGAGAGTTGTCTCATTGGCAATCATGCCACATCTCCTTATTTTTATATTTTATTATTTCAGAAGAGGTTTGAACATGAAATACTTGATCAAGACAATAGCGCTGACGTTGGTTCTAGTTGTCACCGTGGCATTATTTAATAAATTTTCTGCAATCATTTTTGGTTATGTAAGTATATCAATATCTGCTTTTAAATATGACTATTTTCTTAATTAAGGCTAACAGATATTACATTTGAACATAAAAGGAGGTTTCTTTGAATGACGAAATGGGACTCTTTTCAGAATTAGGACTTACAGGTCTATATTTTCACAAATAAGTTTACCTATGAATTACATTTTTTCTCTTTTTTTTAGGGGTCGGGGGGAGGTGGGGGGAGTCGGGCGCTCACCTTTCTGAATCCGCGCCTACTTATTTCATTTGTGTATGTACAGTTTCTAATAACATATTGGCGTACTTTTGAACATTCGACAAAGAATAGTGTCGAAAAAGCTAGACATAGCGATCCTACATTCCGTCGTCGTCGTCGGCGGCGCCGGCGGCGTCCACAAATATTCACTCTGTGGTTAAAGTTTTGAAATTTTAATAACTTTCTTAAACTATCCTGGATTTGTACCACACTTGGACAGAAGCTTGTTTTTTGATCTTACGATAGTATTCAAAAGTAAATTTTGTTAAAAAAAAATCCTGTTTATCCGTAATTTACCTCTAAATGGACTTAGTTTTTCTGCCAGGAAACATTACATTTACTCTGTGGTTAAAGTTTTAAAATTTTAATAACTTTCTTAAACTATCCTGGATTTCTACCAAACTAGAACAGAAGCTTGTTTATGATCATAAGATAGTATCCAAAAGTAAATTTTGTAAAAAAAAAAAATCCATTTTTTCGGTATTTTACTTATAAATAGACTTAGTTTTTCTGCCAGGAAACATTTATTTACATTCACTCTGTGGTTAAAGTTTTTAAAATTTTAATAACTTTATTAAACTATGATCCTGGATTTGTACCAAACTTGGACAGAAGCTTGTTTATGATCAAAAGCTAGTATCTATTAAGGAAATTTTGTTTCTGTTTTTCCGTATTTTACTTATAAATGGACTTACTTTTTCTTCCAGTTAACATTACATACAGTCTGCAGTTAAAGTTTTTAAAACATTTTTTAGATTCATAAACTATCCTGTATTTTTACTAAACTTGGACAGAAGCTTCTTACAATCAAAAGATAGAATCGAGAGGAATATTCTATATTTTTTCCCTCACTTTTGTTGAGCCTGCGATTAACAGCAAAAATAGGCGAGACATTGGGTTTCGCGGAACCCTTACGAATTGTTGCCCTGTAGGAGTGAACAAAATATTGTATAAATGATCTTTTTTGCAATAATAATGCTTTTATTTTATGTCACACTGCAAATATACTCATACACAAAATATACAACCATTTATGTACACATGAACTGTACACGCGGAAAGCATAATTATACTATAACTAATGTCACAAAGTTAATACACACAGAAAGTATAAACTAAGTATTAAGTAATTTAAGTCACACATGAAATACACACGGAAAGTAAAAAATAAATAATGTCACACAGGAAATACACACGGAAAGTATAAAGTAATTTATGTCACAAAGGAATTACACACGGAAAGTATAAAAAATAATTTATGTCATAGAAAAAATACCCTGGGGGAAAGTATACAATATTTTATGTCACACAGGAAATACACACAGAAGGTATACAGTTATTTATGTCACACAGGAAAATACCCACGCGGAAAGTATACCATGTATTTTATGTCACACGGGAAATACCAACTTGGAAAGTATACAATATTTCATGTCACACAGTAAATACGGAAGGTATACGATAATTTATGTCAGATAGAAAATACACACGGAAAGTATTATACACTATATCACACAGGAAATACCCAGGGGAAAGTATACAATATTTTATGTCACACAGGAAATACCTACGCGGAAAGCATACAATAGTTTATGTCACACAGGAAATACACACAGAAGTTTACAGTTATTTATGTCACACAGGAAATACCCACGCGGAAAGTATACCATATATTTTATCTCGCACAGGAAATACCCACTTGGAAAGTATACAACATTTTATGTCACACAGTAAATACTTACGGAAGGTATACGATAATTTACGTCACATAGAAAATACACACGGAAAGTATACACTATATCACACAGGAATACACACTGAAAGTGTACAATAATTCATGTCACACAGAAAATACACACGCATTGTATACCATAATTTATTTCACAAAGGAAATACACACAGAATGTTTAGATTTATGTCACACAGAAATTACAAACCGATTGTTTACCATAATTTATTTCGCACAGGAAATACACACGGAAAGTATCAATAATTTATGCCACTCAGGAAATACATACGGAAAGTATACACTAATTTATGTCACATAGAAAATACACACGGCTGGTATACAATAATGTATTTTTGTTACATAGAAAAAACACACGGACAGTATACACTAATTTATGTCAAACAGGAAAAACCCAGGCGGAAAAGTATACAATATTTTAATTAAGTCACACAGGAAATACCCACGCGGAAAGTGTACGATATTTTATGTCACACAGGAAATACTTCCCTTATGGAACTGAATTGTTTGCTGCAAACTTGCAGCAGACTTGCTGCAAGCTTGTGGCAAACAAAACGTTTGCAGGAACACAGAAAATAGTGTTTGCAGAAGTTTGCCGCTAGCTGCAAACTTCCGGCAAACATTGCAGCTTTTTACTGCAAGCTTGCGGCAAGTTTGCAGAAACATCAATGTTTGCCGTAAGATTGCCAGAAAGTTAAGATAATAAATAGTGTTTGCTGCAAGATTGCAGAAAACTTTGACTATTCTATATGTTTGCCGCAAGATTGCAGAAAACTTTGACCATTCTATGTGTTTGCCAGAACATTGCAAGAATTACACAATATTGACTGGGCATGCCTAGTTGGCACTTCCTGGAAGCTAACAATTTGAAATTATGTCTAGGTCAGGGGCGTAGCTACCTTCTTAATGAAGTGGAATCACAAACTATAGGGCGAGGGGTCTGGGGACCGCCTAAGGCCCCCAGTAGGTCCAGGGCAAAGCCCTGGTAGGGGGGGCCAGGGGGCGAAGCCCCCCTGAAGCTCCGCATATATAGCGTTTCAAAACAATCACAACCGAAATAAAACTTGGACATTTTTCTTGTGTTTTTTTGGTCAACTATTTGTTTAACTTCGAGTCGAATGAAGACTTAACATTGTCGCTTGCGTTTTTTGTACGTGAAAGCTTTTGAAATCACGGAGATTTGTTCCATATGCTAGTATTTGTATTGAGCAAAGTAGATTAAAAAAAAAACAAACAATAAACATAAACACAATACTATATGTGGAGTTTCTGTTAGCAAAACATCATGGATACGAAATACTTGGTGGACACATTCTCATATATTTTGCTTAACATATGTATTTAGATGTTTAAAAATTTTGTGGGTAAACTCTACAAGAGAGAGATGGGAATTTCGAGTTTTACGTAGTTAGGAATATTCGAAGTTGAAATTAATGAACTTTTTCAGAGTAAATGGTTCTTTGATAACGATCTTTTTCATGATCTGCGTTTTTAATTAGCCAGCTAATTAACAAATGCATATGCATTCGACCAGTTGTATGGCAATATCTAGATGATAACAGTGAAGATACGTGTAATAAAAGTTTGGTGTATCTTTCGAACAAGAATCAGCAGTTTAGTGTCCTACTCGGACAGACAGTTCTTTTTAAAATTGAATGACCTAATAGTCCAGTAAAACGAGTTAGAATTAACAATTTATTTAAATGGTTTTACAATCAACCATTCGTATAGCCGGCCCATATAGGAACGACTTCGAATTATCGAATCTATATAAAAGATTTTTTTTGTAAAATAAATAAAAACGTAAAACATGTACTGGAAGATGTGTACCTTTTTTTTTTAATAATAACAGCAGTTCCAACTTCTCATCTACTAGTATACGGAAACTATTGATTAATTGAATGGTTATTAATGTCCGGTAGCAAATATTACATGCACACAGGACGAGATACGTTGACGTGATGTGAAAATGAACTATTCGTGTTGTCAAGACCTACATACTTAGTCAATATTGAACTAGTTCACAAGGTTACAGTCATTATTCCCGGATCAATACGAGTTGAAGAGTCTTCATTCTAGTAAGATGTGTGCTTTGGGGCGAAGCGGAAAATAATAATTTTCAAGTTTTTTTGTTAACCCTAGAGGGATTATGTTTTTTTTTACACTCAAAGCGAGTATACGGTATGGTTGTGGTACCAACAACTATGTAGCTGGTATTTTCTAAACAATGCCCGTAATATAAAAAGTTTCTCTAAGTTTACACCAGCTGTATGTATTTATCGTACACATACATGTCTTACAGGATGTTAACTCTGTCCCCCTCTCTCTCTGTCTCTCTCTTTTTTTTTTTTTTTTTTTTTTTTTTTTTGTGAAAACGACGTGGATGCACGTGCTGCCGTGCCTCCGGGTAGCTACGCCCCTGTAGGTCATGTTGATTGTGTTTGGAAAATGCATTTCACATATAAAAGATCAAGGAGGCATTTTAGTTCAATAATATAGGATATTCAATAGGTAATTTTGTAAGTACAAATAATTCATAGAACTGCATGTTTTAATAAAATAATTAATGTCACCATCATACATAATTAAGTAAGCAACTATATATATATATGTGTGTGTGTTTGAAAAATTTTAGCTCTTATAAGTTTTAATTTTGTAACTGATGTACTGTATCGTGTTTATTAAAATTAAGTTCAATTCTGTAATGCAATTATTACCTAGCTTTATACCCAATACACATTGGAGATTTATCCTTTTTCATTTCTTAATACAGGTATATGATGTCATTTGAGAATAAACCCTGACCCCTTTTTTAAAACTCAAATGCATGTATGTATTTCCTTAAATCTTTAAGTTTGCAAAAATTCTTTCAATGACTGTTTGTATACAGGCAGAAATTCTTTTAAAAATGTTGCTGTGTATTAAGAGATAAATTGAATGTGTCTACACACATGACATTGGTATATGTGTAGTTCCTGCAAGTTTGCCGCAAGTTTGCAACAAACAATTGCCGCAAGCTTGCGGCAAATCTAATTTGCATAATTATGTTTGCAGCAAGCTTGCCGCAACCTTCATTTGCATGGTAAAATGGTTGCGGTGCAAATGTTTGCCGCAGGGCTTATTTTTCGGTAAGGGTTACGGAATGTTTACAATAATTTATGTCACATATATATATATATAGAACATACACACGGAAAGTATACACTAATTTATGTCACACAGGAAATGCAGATGGAAAGTATACAATAATTTATGTCACACAGAAAATACACACGGATTGTATACAATAATTTATGTCACACAGAAAATACACACGGGTTGTATACAATTATAATTTATTTCACACAGGAAATACACACAGAAGCTATATAATAATTTATGTCACACAGAAAATAAACACGGATTGTATACCATAATTTATTTCACACAGGAAATACACACGAAAAGTATAAAGTAATTTATGTCACACAGGAAATACACATGGAAATTTTTGACACACAAAAAGCACACATGCACGGAAAGTATACAATAATTTATGTCACATAGAAAATTCACACAGAAAGTAGAAAGTAATTTATGTCATATAGGAAATACACACGGAAAGTATACACTAGTTTATCATGTTTATGGTACACAGGAAATACAAACGGCGTGTATGCCATAGTTTATTGCACACAGGAAATACACACGGAATGATTGTATACAATAATTTATGTCACACAGAAAATAAACACAGATTGTATACCATAATTTATTTCACACAGGAAATACACACGAAAAGTATAAAGTAAATTATGTCACATAGGAAATACACATGGAAATTTTTGACACACAGTAAGCACACAATGCACGGAAAGTATACAATAATTTATGTCACATAGAAAATTCACACAGAAAGTAGAAAGTAATGTATGTCATAGAGAAAATACACACGGAAAGTATACACTAGTTTGTCATGTTTATGTTACACAGGAAATACAAACGGAGTGTATGCCATAATTTATTTCACACAGGAAATACACACGGAAATTCTTAGTATGACCGCTAGAGGCAACCAGTGTCGTCCACAAGATATTTATGCTTATTCGGCCATTGGAAAGCTAAATGTTAATTGGATTAAATATGACTCAATAGTAATTACTGGATGGTGTAAAGGAAATGACCAATTCAACTGCATATTGTTTACTAGTGACCAACAGCATGCGTTTGTAAAAGCAACGCGCTGGCGGCAGTACTCACAAGGAAGTCCAAAAATGTATGCCTGTCAGTTTATATGTGATATAACAAACAAATCTATTACTCATATTAGTATCGTTAAAAATGGTGCTTCTGATAACTCGTGTTCACAAGTACTTAAAGTAACTTATCCAACAAGACAACAAGATAAGCTAGCTGTATGTTCTAAAATGGCGTACGGCACTGAAAAACCTATCAAACTTATTGAGTGGTTCGAATACAATCTTTTGATGGGAGTAGACAGGTTTATAACGCTGGTCCAACCATTAAATAGGGACGCTTTTAAAGTGTTGAAATATTACCAGAAGAAAGATGTTTTAGACATGGGTATATTTCCTGCTCCGTTACCAGGGGAAGCAACAGGTGAGTAACAAACTATTTTTGGTTAGGGTGCTACCATTTGATTTTTATGGGGGGGGGGGGGGGGGGGCTAGGATGAAATTTGAAAAAAATAGGCAGGACAGGAGTTTTGAGTAAACAAAAAAGGCAGAATGAGACACTTTGCAAAAAAAAAAAGGCAGGATGACAATTTATGTAAAAAAAAGTCAGTTTAACCTAATAAAAAAAAGGCAGGACCGAATAGAGTGAAAAATAAAAAGGCAGGACAGAGATAACAACTAAAAAAAATGCAGGACAAAATTTTTCATCCTTCTGCGTGCTGGCGGCGTCAACAATTTGTAAAATTTGTGATTATAAAGTTAGTTTAAGGGGAACCACTAGTGGTAAGTCCATGCTTTTTAAAAAATATATATCATTTGCATTATCTTGACATGTCTCATTTCCATGGAGATCATTAAAACCGCCCTTTAGGCATGGACTATTGACGTTGAAACTTTTGCATAGTCTTAAATGTTCAAGTTTATGAAAAGATCAGTTTAAGGGGAGCCACTTATGGTAAAATTCTGCATATAATATCTGAGTGATAGTTGTATTAGCATTGGCACATCTTATTTCAATGGTCTTTTGGCATATTAGATTTTTTTCATTTTAATTTCAATATTTGCTACTATCAAAATTTCATACAGGCGAGATATCTCTGTTTCAACAGTTTATTTAAAAGTTACAAAGTTTCTGTCTGTCATATGTCCATTGTCCTTGCCAGACCTCTTTTTCGTGGGTCAGTGACTGATAGAAAAAATTAGTATTTTTGCTAAGTGAAATACTCATCTATAGTGTGTAATAGGATATCTATATTTGGTGTATGGGTTCCTTGCAACGTCTACATGTCCATCAGGTAGGGTTGACCTGACCTAGACATCATTTCATGGATCAGTGATCAAGGTTAAAATTACGTGGTGAGGTCCGTATCTCAGATATTATAAGCAATAGGACCACTATATTTGATGTATGAAATGATTGTAAGGTGTACGTGGTTGTCTGGCAAGTTTCATGTGACCTTGATCTGATTTTCATTGTTGATTAGTCATTGACAAGTTTTCGTGGTTTTGACAGTTTATCAGTTACTATAAGCAATTGGTCAATTATATTTTGTGTATGAAACAATTGTAAGGTGTACATGTCCGACTGGCCGGTTTCTTTTGTCTTTGACCTCATTTTTATGGACATTGTTCATATTTTGTGGTTTTGTCTGTTTCTCAAATACTATAAGCAATTATAGGTTAATTATATTTGGTGTGTGGAATGATTGTAAGGTGTGCGTGGTTGTATGGTTGGTTTCATATGACATCGACTTCATTTTCATGATTCATTGGTCAATGACACGGTGCTTTGCTCTTGCGCCAAAAAAATCTTTCATTTGGTCCACAGTGAATTATATTTCATTTGCGCCAAAATAAAACATTTCAATTGCGCCAATAATACAGGTAAATACAGGTTAATAGTATAGAAAAAATAGTTTTATTCAAAAGAGACCTTTAATAATAACTTTAAAACACAGTTTTCTATTGCATGATAAAACATATTCATAACAAATCAGTTATCATAACCATAATAAAAGCACTATACACTGATATGTTCTTAAAAAGAGACTTTTCATAATAATGTTAGAACACAGTTCTGTTATAAATTAACGTGATCATAAAACCTAAAAGAAAGCACTATACACTGAAGTAAAACCAAAAGTTTGTTCTGACACAAGACTTGTAAGCAACGGTCCGGATGTATACTCATGTACATTTGATATCCTATATGTGTGGTCATAAAAAATTACAGCCTTATTTCCTCTATATAAGATGAGATGGTGTATGATTCCCAATGAGACAACTATCCACCAAAGTTCAAATGAAGGGGACGAAAGCAATTATAGGCAACCGTACGGCCTTCAAAATTGAGGAAAACCCATACCGTATAGTCAGCTTTAAACGTGAAAAATATGAAACAATTCAGTTGAGAGAACTATTAAACGGCCTGTTTGTCTCTCAGAACTGACACCTCAAACATGTGAACACTGTGTTATTTTATACCTACGTGACTCTCAGTTTTATATTAGAAATGAGTATGTACTCACTTAGTTACCCAGGGGAATACTTTAAAAAAAATCTTATTCACGATATAGCAATGAATATTTAAACTTTTCCGTTATATGTTACCTGTGAAATTGCGCAAATGTAGTTTTTATTTTTTGGCGCAAATGATATATAACCTTGTGGCGCAAATGAAAGATTGGATTTTGTAAAAATTGGCGCAAATGCAATGCGATAGGACCACTATATTTGGTGTATAGAATGATTGTAAGGTGTACATTTAATTCTGTCTGGCACGGTTCATCTGACCGTGACCTCACTTTTAAACTAACATTGATAACGTTAAATTTATGTGATACTTGTAGTAAAACATTCATATTACTGACTTTCAACATAAATTCAATCATAAGTAAAGAAGGCGAGTCATTTCAGCGTGTGTGCCCTTGTTATAGACTAGGGACAATTTAGAGCTTTGCTTATTATATAATTTAATTTATTAAAGCACAAATTACACCCATAAGAGTGCCAAAGGCATGACAATTACATGTAATAACAACAATATAATGATGACATTAAAATTTACATATAAAATAAAAATAAACCAAAACATTAAACACAACAAATGACCTCAAGTGCCCCCTGTCCTCAGTTCCATAGACTGTTTAATAAAGGAGCCTAAAGATTTCACTTGCTGACTAGTGGTTGGATTTAGTATATATTTCATTTTATTATCAGAAAAATCTTTGTATTGAATTTTTAAATCATTAAAAAAGACATGTCTTGTATCATCATTTATTTTACATATTTAAAAGAAATGGGATTCATCATCCAGAACTTTGCACTTATTACAAAGTCTTTGAGGGCGTGGAATATTTTTATATCTTCCAGTTTCAATAGCGAGGGAATGATCACTTATTCTAAATTTGCATATAAGTTTTCTTGTATCAAGATTAGGGTATGTCAAATAAAATTCTTGTTTATATTCAGCTTTTATATGCTTAAACAGAAGAAGTTTGCTATTTTGGTCGAGAGATGATATTTTATTGTCATATATAGTTTCTTTATATATTTGCTGAAATTCATTTTTATAGAATTTTTTACTGAAATTCTTACAGTGTCCGTTTTTGTTTTTAGTTACATCTTTGGGTTTGCTAATATTATTATCGGACCTATTAATATGATTTACATATGAGTACCATGAGTATATACCTTGATCATGAAGTGATTTAGAAAGAGAGTAACACTCTTTAAATAAATCAGATGAGTTTTCACTCAAAAGTCGGTCTTCATATAAAAGTGACTGTGTGGCAATGAAACAAAAAAGGGGAAATCTTCCTAATTCAGATCTAGAGGCAATATTACTAGCACATTTCTTAACTCCAAGTGTAAATTTGCAAAACTTATTGTGAATTTTTTCAGGAGGACTCCTTTCTATAATTGAGTTTATCCAAAGGAGAATTATTTTTTCTGACTCTAGCAATTGCATTATAGTATGGTTTGTACACATCCATATACAAAATTTCACAATTATATGTAAGAATAGGACGAACCAAAGAATCAAATAAATGTACAGATAAATTTGCAGGTAATTCGTTCAGACCGCTTGTATAGCTTTTGATAGAGTACATAACTTTTAGGGCCTTTTTTGAAAGTGCTTCAGCATGCAGATGACAATAAGTTTCCATTTTGTGAGAGCAAGTTCCCTAAGAACCTAAATTCATTTACTGATTCTAAAACAGTGTGCTTGTAATTAAATTTTGTATTTTGCGTCTTTTTATGACGATGACCAATAACCATAGTTTTAGTCTTTTACAATTAACAGTGAGTTGCCATTTACCACAGTAAGAAGAAAATTTATCTAAGCTTTCGTGAAGACCTTCTTTTGATTCTGACATTATTAATAAATCATCTGCAAACATTAAACTTCCAATAACAGAATTTTCGAGAGTTAGCGGTTGACACTCATTTCCTGAGAATAAATTTGGAACATCATTTATATATATGTTAAAAAGGGTAGGGCTTAAAGAATCTCCTTGCCTAACTCCTCGGTTTATATCAAAGTAGTCAGTGAAACAATTGTTAATTTTCAGTGCTGACATTGTCTTAGAATACATACATTTAATCATATTAATCATCTTATTGCCAACTCCTGAAGACAAAAGTTTAAAAAATAAAGCTTTACGCTACACAGAATCAAAAGCTTTGCGCAAGTCAATGAAGCATGCATAAATTTTTCTCTTACCAAGATGTATGTATTTATTTATTAAAGTTTTTAGTACAAACAAACTGTCAGTTGTCCTCATTTTAGGTCGAAAACCAAATTGAAATTTACTGAATTTGTCTTCCATATAAATCATTACCCTTTATTTAAAACCGCACTAAATATTTTTGCTACACCATTTAAGAGTGAAATACCCCTATATAAATATTTGGGTCAAGTGGGTCACCACCCTTAAATAAAGGGACTATATATGAGTTAAGCCAAGTTTCTGGATAAAAACGTGATGAAAATATTAAATTAAAAAGTATTGTTACAGACTTAACAATAACAGGATATAGAAACTTCTCTATAATTGAATGTATGATGCTTTCTATATGATTTTTGGTTATTTTTGTCTTTGTGTTGCTGTTTTATGAACATGTGTATAAACATCTCCCTTTATTCGTATTTAGAACCTGGTTCTAGGAAAACACGATTTATTTATTAGTCGTTATAGGCTTTGAACTAGCTTTCTGTAACTGCGAGTACTTTTAAATTGGTACGTTGTGTCTTTTTTTATTTATGTTAGTTTTATTGTCGAGCCTGCGACTTTTGTCGCAGAAAGCTCGACATAGGGATAGTGATCCGGCGGCGGCGGCGGCGGCGGCGGCGGCGGCGGCGTTAGTTAACTTCTTAAAAGCTTTATATTGTCCAAGGTGGAAGACCTGGATGCTTCATACTTTGTATATAGATGCCTTATGTTATGAAGTTTCCGTCTGTCATATATCCATTGTCCTTGACCTCATTTTCATGGTTCAGTGACTACTTGAAAAAAAAGTTCAGATTTTTTGAATTTTTATTTCTTTCTTATTATGCTAATCTTATACCAATAGGTTAAATAGAATCTATTTACTTCTATCTACACGAAATGAAATGAAAAAAGAAAGGATCGATACGGTGAATTAATTATATCTATTAAATTATCTTGCTTAAAAGCATTTGAGATTTTCCATTGTGTAAATATTTCAGCTAACACTTTGGATTGCAAGATAAAGGACAGAAAGGAGTGTTTTAAAAATTACAGCTACGACGAAATGAAAGGTAGGACACCTTAGTATATAGGTAATTTATATCAAAGATTAGTGCCTGTGGATCCAATACAGTTTTGTTGACGCCTCCATGATTTAGTTTTACCATTATAGAATATATGTGTCATCTGGGAGATTTCCAAATAGTGCATTTTTTTTCATCTAAGATCAAATTTATAATTATGGAATAAAAACAACAGAATATTTTATAATTGTACACCATTTGGTTGATTTTAGTACACACCAATTGGTCTTCTAACTGAGAGAAAAGTTGTCGCAAAAGTTATGAGGAGTAAAAATTACATGTGGAGAAAAGAATTAAATATATCAAATTATAACTAAAAATTGAGATGAGAACGTAATGTGATTTTAGTATTTGTAGTCCATTTTGAGTTTACTCTTTTTCTACAAAGTTCGATTTATTGTTATTTTTAGATATCCCTTGGAAAGTTTTCCGGCGGCCTTCACCCCAGGGGGAACACGACCAACAGGTTGCTTTATACCACTGCTTAGAGACATTCCAAGGTTATGATTTCGTGGCTAATGTTGATTTTGATGAATTCATTGTACATTCACAGTTTAAACAGTTCAAAGATTACTTGAAGGTTGTATATTTAAACTGCTTTATATTGAAAAATATACAAATTAGACAAATAAACGTTCTTCTGCTTCTTTTAGAATCAATTATCAGCCAGTGTCTTTAATATACATACTTTTTACATTTTTGTCACGCCCTGGACGAACGTTACAGAAGAGGAACATATATATATATATATGTTACAGTGAATTTGTAAAATCAGGGATTTTGTAAAATCCCTGGAATACTTAGTGATTTTGTAAAATAAATCACTAACAGTTTCAGTGATTTTGTAATTGCCCACTTAGTATTAATATAAAAGGCTAAATTAACCTCAAACTTGTTGAGTGTAACTGCTGTAGACTTTTTTTTAAAGAATTCTTTAATCAAAAACAACTATTTTTTTTACAAATTCACTGAATTTAATCAGGGAATCTGTAAAAAAGATCTTAATTATTTCAGTGATTTTGTAAAATCCCTAGTCAAAATCAGGGATTTTATAAAATCACTAATCAGTTCAGTGATTATACAAAATCCCTGATTTTACAAATTCACTGTAACATATATATAGCGATCCAATATTCCGTCACCTGCATCGGCGTCGTCGGATTCGTCAACATTTAGATTCAACGTGTGGATAAAGTTTTTATCTCACCTCGACGAAAGTCGCAGAATCCGAGAAATAGTGATTAATTAGAGGGTGGTGACGACGGTGTTAGCTACTTGTATATATACAATATATTATGTACATGTATATTGTCGGAAAATATAAAATTTATTTGTACGAGTTTTAGAAACAGGACGAAAAGCGAGGCTCGACGAGTACAAAGAACATTTTATATTTCCGACAATGTTCATATATTATTTTTATCCTGTAATTTACACCCGGCAAAAGAAAGATTTAGTTATTTAAATCCAAAAAGTTGTCTCTGATTTTTCAAAGAAATCCCTTTATAGTATAAACGAGGATCGCGAAGAGGACCCAAAAATGGACTGCTACGCAAAAAGAAATATTCACATTACTGCTTCTCAACATTGAAGATGTGTAACAGGAGATTTTATTTGTACAATAGTTGACTGATTGCAGGATAAAAAGCTATATATTTCAGAGATTAGAAGACTTGAATACTTCATATCTTGTATACAGATTTATTTATGACATTTCCGTCTGTCACATATTATATACAATAAGGAGACGTGTTATGATAGCCTATGAGAAAACTAGTACACACTTTGTAAATTTTATGACCAGTTGAACATTCTGGTATCTTAAAGTCCTATGACGGCGGAACATATCGTATAATTGTGAGTTGGAGTCCAGACACGTCGTATCAACCAACCTATCTGTGATGGTGACAGTAAAACTTATATAGTGTAGATTTTAGTCGTTGTTTCTCTGCCCCTGCTTTATGAGTTTTTGTGTCAAAAGCACACCCTGTGGATAAAGTCCATATAGTGTAAACTTGTACGCTCGTAACGTTTCAAATTAGGTGTGAACGACATACAATGAGAAATGGGAAATTGACAATAGAACATGCAGAATTAGTGCTAGTTTTGATATCGTCCTTCTTTTGCACTGTGTTTACTTATGAAAGTAATTCCTAAGTGTCTGAGTGAAATTAAAGAATTTGGCAAGATTTTTGCCCCATTTTTAAAAAAAAAACCTAAGTCGGCCAGTATGGATGCACAATTATAACCCGTTGGAATGTCGACTGTTTATGAGGACTTGTATTTAATATATTAAAAAAAACCAAATAGAACCGAAAATGAAACTATCAAATGTATAACTTGTATGACTATATTTCAGAACGATTTAATGCCAAGATATCCGACTGCTGCTGGGTTTACTTTGAATCATTCATACTTCATTGAAGACTGGGGAGTGTCTGGAGATGGATTTCTACAGATATCTCGCTTTGTAACGAGATTAGATCCTCGATTATTAAATTATAAAAATATTGTTATTCCCAGCAGACTAGCTGATATACATACCCACAACCTGAAAGAAAAACCGGGATACACAAGGTACGTTTATTCTCGGGATACACAAGGTACGTTTATTCTCGGTATACACAAGGTACGTTTATTCTCGGGGTACACAAGGTATAGGTTTATTCTCGGGATACACAAGGTAGGTTTATTCTGGGGATACACAAGGTAGGTTTATTCTGGGGATACACAAGGTAGATTTATTCTCGGGGTACACATGGTAGGTTTATTCTCAGGTTACACATGGTAGTTGTATTCAGGGGATACAAATGGTAGGTTTATTCTCGAAATTCACAAGGTAGGTTTATACTGGGGATACACATGGTACATGTAGGTTTATTCTGGGGATAAACATGGTAGTTTATTCTCTGGGATAGACATGGTAGGATTATTCTGGAGATACAAATGGTAGGTTTATTCTGGGGATACACATAGTAGTTTTCAACTGGGGATACACATGGTAGGATTGTTCTGGAGATACAAATGGTAGGTTAATTCTCAGGATACACTTGGTAGGTGTATACTGGGGATATACATTGTAGGTTTATTCTGGAGATACACATGGTAGGATTATTCTGTAGATACAAATGGTAGGTTTATACTGAGGATACATATGGTAGGTTTATTCTCAGAATTCACATAGTAGGTTTATTCTGGGGATACTCATGGTAGGTTTATTCTGGGGATACACTCGGTAGGTTTATTCTGGGGATACATATGGTAGGTTTATTCTGGGGATATACATGGTAGGTTTTTTCCCGGGATACTCATGGTAGGTTTATTCTCGGGATACACATGGTATGTTTATTCTCTGGATACACATGGTAGGTTTATTCTCGGGATACATACGGTAGGTTTATTCTGGGGATAAACATGGTAGATCTATTCTGGGGATACACATGGTAGGTTAATTCTCTGGATATAAAATGATAGGTTTATTCTGGGGATACATATGGTAGGTTAATTCTCGGGATACACATGGTAGGTTTTTACTGGGGATACACAAAGTAGGTTTATTCTGGGGATACACATGGAAGAATTACTTCCGGGATATACTAGACAGATGTTTTTCAAGATACAAAAGGTAGGTGTATTCAATAAGTCTGATGCTTTCCTCGCAATTATATTTACTAATCTTAGTTAACCACTATACCATTTTTGCTCATCTGGCCAATTGAGCTATACTCATCACTTCCGTCCCTCGTCGTCCGTTAAATTATGGGGATACATATGGTAGGTTTATTCTGGGGATAAACATGGTAGATTTATTCTAGGGATACACATGGTAGTTTTATTCTCTGGATACACATGGTAGGTTAATTCTCGGGATACATATGGTAGGTTTATTCTGGGGATACACATGGTAGGTTTATTCTGGGGATACAGATTGTAGGTTTTTACTGGGGATACACATGGTAGGTTTATTCTGAGACACACTATGTAGAATTATTCTCGGGTTTCACATGGTAGATTTTTACTAGGGATACACATGATAGGTTTATTCTGGGGATACACATGGTAGGTTAATTCTGGGGATACACATGATAGGTTTATTCTGGGGATACACATGGTAGGTTTATCTAGGGATAAACATGGTAAGTTTATTCTGGGTATACGCATGGTAGGTTTATTCTGGGGGATACAGTAGGTTTAATCTGGGGATACACATGGTAGGTTTATTCTCGGGATACACATGGTAGGTGTATTCTCGGGATGGGATATACATGGTAGGTGTATTCTGGGGATACACATGGTAGGTTTATTCTGGGGATACATATGGTAGGTTTATTTTGGGGATACACATGGTAGGTTTATTCTCGGGATACACATGGTATGTTAATTCTCTGGATACACAAGGTAGGTTTATTCTCGGGATACACATGGTAGGTTTATTCTGGGGATACACATGGTAGGTTTATTCTGGGGATACACATGGTAGGTTAGTTCTCGGGATACACATAGTAGGTTAATTCTCGGGATACACAAAGTAGGTTTTTACTGGGCATACAAGAAGTAGGTTTATTGTGGGGATACACAAGGTAGGTTTATTGTGGGAATACACATGGTAGGATTACTTCCAGGATATACTAGAAAGATGTTTTTCAAGATACAAAAGGTAGGTGTATTCAATAAGGCTGATGCGTTCCTTGCAGTTATATTTACTAATCTAACCACCTTAGGTCTATTCTGGGGATACACATGGTGGGATTATTCTGGAGATACAAATGGTAGGTTTATTCTGGGGATACACATGGTAAGTTTATTATGGGGATACATATGGTAGTTTTATTCTCGGTATACACATGGTATGTTAATTCTCTGGATACATGTGGTAGGTTTATTCTGGGGATACATATGGTAGGTTTATTCTGGGGATACACGTGGTAGGTTAATTCTATGGATACACAAATTGGGTTTATTCTGGGGATACATATGGTAGGTTTATTCTGGGGATACACATGGTAGGTTTATTCTGGGGATATACATGGTAAGTTTATTCTGGGGATACACATGGTAGGTTAATTCTCGGGATACACATGGTAGGTTAATTCTCGGGATACACAAAATAGGTGTTTACTGGGGATACACAAAGTAGTTTTATTCTGGGGATACACAAGGTAGGTTTATTCTGGGGATACACAAAGTAGGTTTAATCTCGGGATACACATGGTAGGATTACTTCCGGGATATACCAGAAGGATATTTTTCAAGATACAAAAGGTATGTGTATTTAATAAGTCTGATGCTTTCCTTGCAATAATATTTACTAATCTAACCACCATACCATTTTTGCTCATCTGACCAATTGAGTTATACTCCTCACTTCCGTCCCTCGTCGTCCATTAAATTTTACCAATATCTTCTTCGCTGGAACTGCTGGGCCAAATTTAACCAAACTTGGCCACCATAATCATTATGGTATTGAGTTTTAAAAGTACGTCCGATGATTCCGCTTGCCAACCAACATAGATACATTAGAACATAGGGGCGAAATGCAAGTTTTGTCTATTATCTTGAAAACCACAATAGATAGAGAAAATCTAACAGAAAGAAAATGTTTAGAATGTTGAGATCGAGCTCACTACTTATCATTTACATCAAAACTGTCGGACGACTTATAGGTGTAATTGCCCTTAAATGACAACTTTTTGCATTTTTTGCCTACAATCTTGAAAACTTTTATTGATAGACAGAAACCTTAATAGCAAAAAAATGATCATCAAGACAAGATCTACAAATAGGTCAACATGTTGGAAATCATCAATATTTTTTTAATAGGCGATATTTCTCTTTTATGAAGATTTTTACTAATTTTTGCGTTATTTTCTAAAACTATAAGAGATAGATTGGAATTTCAAAAAGCCAAAATGATCTTTAAGACAAGATCTACATATTAAATATGTCAAACAAAGCCGAAATTGTCAATTGACTTCCCCTTTAATGACGATTTTAACGCTCTTTCCGCTGTTAATTAGTAAAAAAACACTAGAAGATAGAAATAAACTGCAGCAGTTAACATGATCAACTAATCAAAATCGTCAGTCCACTTCTAATTGAAGTAACTACCCTTGAATGATGATGTTTTACAATTTTTGTGCTTTTGGCAAAACTATAGTAGATAGAGTGAAACTAAATGTTCCGCAATCCAAGATTAAAAAAAAAGATTTTAGTCATGCATTATATTCTAGTTTTCACTATTGGCGAATGTCCTTTCTTGAAGACGTACATAAATTATATATCCAAGTAGGCCCCTTAGAGCCTCTAGTTACTAAGAAAAAACAGGCATACAAAAACATCAAGCCTGTCCCAAGTTAGGAGCCTGTAATTCAGTGGTTGCCGTTTGTTGCTGTCTACATACTAGTTTTTAGTTAATTGTTATATACATAAATGAGACTGTTGGTTTTCCCTATTTAATTGTTTTAGTTTTTATCATGTCGGGTTTTCCTATAGCTTTCTAAACAGTATGTGTTTTGCTCATCGTTGAAGGTCTTAAGGTGACCTATATTACTGATCCTTTCATCCGAGTCGTTTGGTCTCCGGTTGATATTTGCCTCATTAGCAATCATAACATTTATTTATTTTTTATTTATGTAGAGCGTACAGAAGAGAGGCGAATGATACAAAAGTGACATTTAAACTAAAAGTCGAAATAAACTGACAACGCCATTGCAAAAAAGAGAAAAAGACCAAAAGACAAACAACAGTATACAAAACACAAAATAGAAAACTAAAGACTGAGCGCCACGAACCCCACATAAAACCGGGGGTGATCTTAGGTGATCCGGAAGGGTAAGCAGTTCTACTCCACAGTACAAACCCGGTATTAAGTCTCATTCGGCAGGTCACAATCGGGGGAAAAACAGGTCGGGATTGTGGTAGCGACGAATGGAACATATCCGTCGTCATCTGTGAAGCATATATTCCATAACGATCAACCAACTCGTGATTGCATCCGTAATATTTTTAAAGGGATGGTTTCAACTTCACCACTTGGAACTCTTGGTTTATAAATAAATCTTAATATCACAAAAGTTAATCTAGGAACCAACTGTGATTTGAACTTGAAACAAACAAAAATTTCCCAAAAAGAATTTTACAATTTAATTCAAAAATAGTATAAATTGTAATACTTAATGCGAGCTTCTCTGTGATTTTAGGTGTTTTATTTCGTCATAGGTCGTCACTTAAATACAACTCTCCCAACATTTCGCCAAGTTCGTTAACTCATTCGAAGTCAAAACAATGTGTGAATAATACCATCAACATCAAATTCTATAAAGAACAAACCACGATGTCATTGCTAATCACAACCACAGAAGAAACCTGTTTTGGCACGGACATGACCATATGGTGGACTAATTGAGATTATTTTTTACTTTTTGTAAATTTGCTTCATGCTGTATTTATGAGCTTTCATGTTTATACTTTCAGAGTCTATCTCAAAAGTCACGATATGGTTGTTCATCATTATAGAACTTGTCCTACTGTTGCATATTGGAAGGACTGTCTGAATTTTCCAAAATATAAAGATTTAAAAATGAATCACGTTAGACCGGAAATGGAGGCGCGGGTACTTCGAGTTTTAAAGGAACTTGGGCTTCATGAGCGAAAATACATAATGTGATATTAAGTGCTATACAACACTCGTGGTGATGTGCGACTGAAGTAGTCAGAGATTTCTATTAACAACACATAATGGAATGAATTAAGGACGTTTATTTATATCCTTCCTGGTTTGTTCACACACGAACTAATTAGGTCTGAAACGACATTGAAAAGAGAACAACGTTAAATAACAAACAACCTAAGACAAGATGTCCGTGTTCACAGATATGGGCAGAGCTAAACATCAACATCAATATAATTGACGATCTCAAGCAATAAATATTTTACAAATGTATACATGAAACTTTCATAAAGAAAAAAAGTGGTAGGTTTATGACATGAAGGCACCGGGCGATATCTTTTTGCGCCAAAAATGAAGTCATTTGAGCAACAACTTATTTGCACCAATGCTACTTCTGCGCCACTTCATTTTAAAAAATTAAGATATCATTTGCGCCAATAAAATAATCATCTAATTCCGTCAATTCTATGAATTTATTTTGACTTATATATATCAACTAAATGATTGACTTCATTCCTCCTTTATCACAGCTTTAATGTATGTCGAATGTATGTGAAGCATAAAATTGTTTGTTGTAATGAGAGTAGAATGATTCAGGTCTGTTATTTGGTCTTTTCAGCCAATACTGAAGGAGGAAACAACGCATTATCCTCTATGTATGCTGATAACACGTACTCAGTGAAGTCTTCTACGTACCTTTGTATCACTTGGCATATCAGGAATTAAATCATCAACAAAGCTATCATCCACATATTCTGGTTTTAGGAACGCTAATCCGAAAAAATGGTATAACCATTTACTTATGTTAGTTCTATTTTTGTTATATTCTTTCCCAAGACATAAATTCTGTATTTTCCTCCACCAAGCCACATATCAGACATCTTTACAATTTGAAAAACTATTCTATTACTGAACATTTTGATTATTGGTGAGTTTTCTTAATTTTGATGAGTGTTCAGTTTAATCTAAAGTGGATATGTTACATGTATGATATAGGTAAAACAAAAAATACAGGTAAATGTGGCGCAATTTGATTCCATTTATTGGCGCAATTAATATCATCAGAAAAATAGAGAGTGGCGCAATTAATACCTTTTCAAAACTGTAATTGGCGCAAATTGATTCTGCCTAAGGCACCCCTCCCCCTTTCCCAAATATATAGAAAAATATATATGCACAACATTGATTGAATTAAAGCTGACTTGTCTGGACAAGACTATAGGCGAGGACATTCATGTTGTACCGACATCTTCATAAAACCACCAAGTTTGCATTTTCGTGACATTGTCCTGTGTTTCTTTTTATTATTAAAACAATACTATTTTGAGATTATTGTGGACAATTTAAGGTTTATTGTATTGCGCACAATAATCATTTTAAATCTATTTATTTCAAGGGGCTTGATTTTCGTCTCGCCTGCGACGAAAGTCGCGGAAAGCGAGACATATGGATTGCTGTTCCGTTTACGGCTGCGGCTACGACGACGGATGCGACGGTGGCGTCAACAATTATTAAGTTTTCTGCTTAAATTAGTTTGATAGGAACTACTTGTAATAGATCATTGATATTTAATACGAAGTTGCATTACTATCAGTTCATATCAGTTTGGCGACTATTTCGAGGACCTGCCCCCTAGGTCATGGTCCAGCAACTTTGAATTAACTAGCAATTTTCAATGTTTAGTTTTCTGCTTAAGTTAGTTTGATAGGAACTACTTGTGATAGATCAACAATATTTTGTATGAAGTCGCATTACTATCAGTACAAATAAGTTTGATGACTATTTTGAGGCCCTGCCCTCTAGGTCATGGTCCAGTGGCTTTGAATTAATTAGCAATTTTCAATGTAAAGTTTTCTGTTCAAGTCAGTTTGATAAGAACTACTTGTGACAGATCAATGATATTTTGTATAAAGTTGCATTACTATCAGTACATCTCAGTTTGTCGACCATTTCTAGGCCCTGCCCACAAGATCATGGTCCAGCCACTTTAAATTAATAAGCAATGTTGCTGTCCATCAGATTGTCTTTTCCTGAATTTTTATGCGGACAGGCGAGACATATCTCTGTGTCAACAGTTTATTTATTTATGAATAAGGATATAGGTTCTCAAGGATGTACTTAATGAAATTGAAAAAAAAAATAGAATTTAAAATTGATACTATAAGTCAGAAGAACATTAGATAAGGGACAAAATAAGCTAAAAAAAATATTGATAGGTTATGGAGCTCCTTTTCGAGATATTTAATTTTTTAAAATTGGCGGAAAAAAGCTGACTCTGACTTTTACCTTATATTTGCATTGATATTATTTGGGTCTCGAATCGAAAGAAATGAAATCTAGAATCTGCTTAAATTTTGATAAATGAACTTTTATGAGCTGTTGAAGTCTTATAAGAAAAGAAAAATGGGTGTTATGGGGCAAAATATTTTACCCTGTATCGTAGGAAAAAAACAAGGAGTCCGAAATCTGACAAAAAGTCATAAACCTGACCTAAGTACACCCTTCAATCAGTCATGACGTAAGGGAAAAGTTGGCAGATTATCTGTAAACTGAAGGAGGGGTATGATTGGTATTTGGGTGTGTTGGAAATGTGACAATTCAAATGTGAAGAGGAACACTAGTCTATGTACTGTTTGAATTTAAAAATCAATACATATTATGAATTAATAAAAATACAATATCTTAGCTGTTCAAAAGAATACGTTTGTTAGAAATCAGTTCCATTCTTTGGAAATAATAGAAGACTCTATTGTCTTATTCTCATATACCCCCTCCCTTTCCCTACTTATAACAAACATTATTTTGAAAGTAAAGAAGAATTTGACCGTTTTTCCTTTTGAATTTTATTAGTTGTACTTCAATTTAAGTTGAAACTCTTTTTGCATATTAATTAACATTTGTTGAGTTAATTATGTCTCCCAAACGAAGACTTATTGTTTTTGCTCAGTTCTTATTCTTCTTCTTCTTCTTCTTCTTCTTCTTCTTCTTCTTCTTCTTCTTCTTCCGCCGCTTTTAAATATGAACTTGTCCGCACCCGTTCTCCAAAACCGCTTGTCAGATTAACTTAGGGTTTCACAATATGTTAGACTAACATGTCTAGTGGTGCAATCAGGGTTTTGTTTGTGCAATGGGGTTTATAAAAGGGTACTTTGAGGGGCAAAAAGAAAAGAGGGTTTTACTATAGAACCCTATGGGATTTTATTTTTTAAAATTTTCAAATGCTTATAAATTGAAAACCGTTTGTGATAGACACAATCTTTTTAATTGAAAATGTTCTAAATGATAAAGCCCATTAAATGAATTACAGGGTTAGTCCCAAGGGGTCACCCACCCCCTGCCATTTAAGAAAGTTCTAAAACCTTGTAAGTGGTCAAGATCCCCACCCCTAAACCATATATATTTTGGTTTGTCATGCTAAGATGGTTTGAATGATATACAGGGTTAGTCCCCAGGGGTCATCCCGACCCCCTGCCATTTGAGAAAGTTCTAATATCTTGTAAATGGTCGAGATCCCCACCCCTAAACCATATATATTCTGGTTTGTCATGATAAATCACATCAAATGTAATACAGGGTTAGTCCCCAGGGGGTCACCCCCACCCCATGCCATTTAAGAAAGTTCTAATATCTTGTAAGTGGTCAAGATCCCCACCCCTAAACCATATATATTCTGGTTTGTCATGCTAAGATGGTTTGAATGATATACAGGGTTAGTCCCCAGGGGTCATCCCGACCCCCTGCCATTTGAGAAAGTTCTAATATCTTGTAAATGGTCGAGATCCCCACCCCTAAACCATATATATTCTGGTTTGTCATGATAAAGCACATCAAATGAAATACAGGGTAAGTCCAAAGGGGTCACCCCCACCCCCTGCCATTTAAGAAAGTTCTAAAACCTTGTAAGTGGTCAAGATCCCCACCCCTAAACCATATATATTTTGGTTTGTCATGCTAAGATGGTTTGAATGATATACAGGGTTAGTCCCCAGGGGTCATCCCGACCCCCTGCCATTTGAGAAAGTTCTAATATCTTGTAAATGGTCGAGATCCCCACCCCTAAACCATATATATTCTGGTTTGTCATGATAAATCACATCAAATGTAATACAGGGTTAGTCCCCAGGGGTCACCCCCACCCCATGCCATTTAAGAAAGTTCTAATATCTTGTAAGTGGTCAAGATCCCCACCCCTAAACCATATATATTCTGGTTTGTCATGCTAAGATGGTTTGAATGATATACAGGGTTAGTCCCCAGGGGTCATCCCGACCCCCTGCCATTTGAGAAAGTTCTAATATCTTGTAAATGGTTGAAATCCCCACCCCTAAACCATATATATTCCTATTTGTCATGTCTCGAACATTTGAATGACGTTTACGGTCAGTCCCCAGGGGTTCCCCCCACCCCCAATGTTCTTATATCTTGTAAATGGTTGAGATCCCCACCCCTAAACCATATATATATACCTGTTCGTCATGTAACGAATATTTGAATGACGTATAGGGTCAGTCCCCAGGGGTTCCCCCCACCCCCAATGTTCTAGTATCTTGTAAATGGTTGAGATCCCCACCCTAAACCATATATATTCTGGTTTGTCATGCCAAGATGATTTGAATGATATACAAGGTTAGTCCCCAGGCATCACTAATGCATATAACTTTACTGGACCAAACCAATTTTCACTGGATGTTGCCCAATGTCAGGCGACCCTGGGATGATTACGAATTATGGGAGCTTCGTTTGGGAGACTTCGTAACAGCATCCTGTTACAATCATTTCTTGTTATGTTTGTTTTTTGGTTTTTTGTCTTACAGTATTTTTGTAACTCTTAAAATGATTCACGTGTTAATACAGTTCCGCATATGAACACTTGAAAAGTAAAATGCTATAAGGGACTTTCTTCATACTAGTATTGATATCGTAAAATATCAGACGCGAGCTATAATGTGAACCTTTTTTTGGCGAGTGAGCGCAGTAAACGACCAAAAAGGCTTCAAATTGTGTCTAGCGACATGCAGAAATCCCAATAATCTATTTATTCTGGTGTCCACTCCCTAAAACGGTTATACACTTTTACTAAAGTAAGCTTGTTAATGTCTCCTCGCACATAAGTTATACACACTATTTACTGGATATTTGTTTACATGTTGAGATCAGGCAGTATCACAAGATTATGGAATAACAGTACTTTATTTAAAAGTTGCCGTCGTCAATTGGCGATTTGATGGTCATATGATTTTTTAGGTGAAAACAGGAAGTAGGTACATATTGACAATCTGAGCATTTGTGTCTCTGTCAGGTTTTCTCTATCTGTTAAGGTTTTCCAGGTATTATAACAAGAACACATTGTGTGCAATATACCATGTTCTTTTTTCGCCGTGGAGCCCATGTTTGTTGACCGACTGGAAAAAAAAACAAAAAATGTATACTTCTTACCCATGTTAACCTTAGGATCATTCACCCCAAGTTTGGTTTAAAATGGATCAGTAATTTCAGACGAAGTGACCATTCAAAAAGTATACGATGGACGAGAAAATTATTTTAAAAAAATCGTTATTTAGGATAATAACTCCTTAAGGGGTCATCCAATTATTTCAGTTGAAATGATATGTTTGTAGATCTTGTATTGTAATATATGTTATCTTAAATTTAACTTCATTTACCTAATTCATCATATTATATTTAATCTATGAGAGTCATATAAACGAGGCCTCTGTTGAGCGCCAGGAGCGCAACATTCAAGCTTTAGAGACTCCCAAGAAAAAAGAGGAGTGAAATATCAAAGGGACATTCGCACTCATAAGTCAATGACTAACACTTTACAAAACACTACATAACAAAACTCAAGACTGAACAACACGAACCCCACGAAAAATCAAGGGTAGTTTCCGAAATAGTGGTTAGGTGGTTTTGTGCTAAGTGTCGCGATATAATAAGTCGAAGCCATATCCAAATGATTTTTACAGTGGCTACAACTGTTACAACACTGTCCAAGAACAGGGGCATGGTTATGCGATTAGGAAAATGTTCAACACCGCAACTTTCTTTATGTGCCGGTCCAAAGTCAGCAGTCTGCAATATTTGATTTAGGTTTATTGTTTAAGCATAAATCAGCAACACAAATGTCACAGAAGTTCGAAATCCGTTGACGGAAGAACAAAAATATGCTATCGCAAATTTGCAGATTAAACGTTGTTGTGCTAAATTTGAGACGAAGTATATATATAAATTATGGTATGAGCCCTGTATAACCACCGGTTAGAAATTTGTCAATTAGTTGCGAGGGCGTTGAAAAACGATACTGTACACAATAAATAAATTATATAT